AATGCATTGGTTTTTACATATGTTTTATGGCACAATGATTGATCAAATCTAATGAATAGCCGTTTGGATGAGTTTTGGCTCTAAAACTGTGGTCCAATTGATTTTCAATGAGATTATATCGGTTGACATATCATCGCGACTGTAGTCGTTCGCCCAATAATTGGCTAATCATTTAAAGCAAAATCAATCATTAAATCACTCGTAAATAAATCAATTAATGGCATAAATACTTCTTTGAAGCGAATTCTTGAGCAGTATGTCCACCATTTGAGAGCCAGAATCGGCGCAAACAACTGATCCCACATTGAAGGGCGAGGCCTCCATATTGAGGCCATCGCTCGATAGCGTTAACATCTTAAAGGCTATCAAATCCCCAACGCTGGGGATCACTGTCAACGGTTCCAACTCATCGAACGATATGGTGGGAGACTTTGGTTTCTCGGTCTTCTCCTCCAGACTATCACTAATTCCATTCACTTTCGTCTCACTTACGGTCTTCCCATTGGAACCACTGGTCGTTGCCGTCGTTGTGTTGTCTCTCTTCTGACTTTTGTTACTAAATGTCTTTCGAGCGCTTTGTTTGAGAGGAGACAATGAAAACAACTGTTCCTTTGCTGTCGCAGCAAAAGTTGCAATCAATTAATATTTTCGATAATGTCTTAAACACACGATACAAACCTTCTGTGGGAGTGGTGTTGAAGTGTTTGTCGACAATAATGCGGTCCAATACAATGATAGGCGAGAACGTGTCGACCGGTTCTGTGGCCTCTCTCTTGGGTTTGGGTTTGCGTTTGGGTTGCGATCCACTGGTTGTTGGATTGGTTGGGGTACTCGACGGCACCACTCTATACATGGGTTGTGGCTTCTGTTTGATCGAAGTGGACGCCTCTTTGAATGCCTTCCTGTGCGGTATGTTTCGCATCGAATTCATCTCAATCTCGTCGTCGAGTGATTTGGACTTCACTTCTTCATCCCGAACATCGATTATGGGATGAGGTTTGGGATCTATTTTAGGCCTCACTTTAGGTTCAGATTTGGGCTCAACTTTGGGTTCAATTTTAGGATAGACTTTAGGCTTGACTTTGGATCTCGTTTTGGGCGTCCGGTCTTCGGTATTCTTGTCAGTCTTAATGCGAACCGGAGTATCACTGACTTTGCGGTCACTCCTCTGAGATGTGGACGAGTTATCGTTGTGTCTGATCTTCGGTTTGATGTCACTTCTCGCGGACACTATCTCGACGTCCGAATCGGAATCAATGGATGACTTTCGCGACATATCATCCGAATCTTCAGTTCTCTTCACTTTACTTTTGGGTCCAATTTTAGGCCGTTTCGGCAAAACACCCAAATCTTCATCACTTCTCTTCACTTTGCTTTTGGGACCGATTTTAGGTTTTGGCGGCTTTTGTGGCAAACCATCCGAGTCTTCAGTTTTCTGGACTTTACTTTTGGGTCCGATTCGCGGTTTATGTCGCACTTCTACCCACTCTTCCGGTCTCTTCACTTTGCTTTTGGGACCGATTTTAGGCTTCGGTTTCGGTGTCGCCGTCGAAGAGGACGAGCCGTTGGGTCCGCCTTTGGGTTCAACACTGTGTCAAAGAAAACCAATAAAACAAAACACGATTAACACCACAAACAAGACATCGCCGCCACTGTCACCCATGACTGACATCACGATGTCGTTGTCCCTCACGATCTCCATATTCTCAGAGGCCGTGAGCGCGAAGTCTTCGATGAAGAGATCGATTCCGTGTCTCAAATGAAACCGCTTTTCAATCAATTTCTTCAAACTTATCACATCCGGCGTCTCATTCCTCTTCACCAATAGCATCGAGTTCTTCAGCGACGGGTCGTTGAAGCCCTTGAACTCCAGCCGCAGCCGAAGATTGTCACCCATTCCTCCGCAGTAATCGGCAAATGAATCACAAACTCATGAATTAATTACTGAATCAAAACAAACGCATGTCTTGTCATAAAAGGGGACATAAATTATGTCTAATAAACGTCGATATTTTGACCCCTTTTCGCACATAAATAGCTACGAAATACATGAAAACACATGCTTTACATACGACACGTATTTTATACGTGTTTTCGTTGTGCACTGAAAGTGACGTCAATTTGTGCGAAAATATGCGTTCATTTATCGCAAACTTTTTTATCACTAATTTTGTTCAATAAATCCAATTAAAAGCAAATTACATGCAAACAAACGGTACACAAGTGTGGAAAACAACCACTTAATTAATGCCTATCTGTAACTGCGGTCCAAAACTATGCGATAAGTGAGAAAAATTGCAAAACGGAGACAAAAAGTTGCGGAAAAAGTCCACAAAACGTTTGCACGGATTGTCTCATTCGTTCATACATTCATTGGACGACTGTTTTCATTGTAAATGATTTGCAATTAATTCTCGTCTCATATCTCGTCTCCGAAACCCATTTCACAACCAAATCGGCGCTCATTTGTCACAAACAGCTGTTCAAAGACATGACAACCGATGACAAGAGTAAGTACCACCGATGCCTCCCTCTTGAGTTCATTCACACCACTCAACTCATCCATTGTTTGTCTCT